AGATAAAACGGTGACATCTTCTCAGACGGACTCTCACACGAAAAAGGAAACAATATAAACATATTGTACTAGTCTAGCTTTATTCGATGCAATATTGAAGTCAACAATATTGGAGGTAAACTGGATGCAGAGTCGGAGACACGGGAAAATTAACAACATAAACACATTCAATAATTGAATATTCTAGCATAAATGTACCCAGCACATTTCCTTTGTTTCTTAACTTTTATAAGAATATGATGTCAATTTTTTTATACAAATAAGGGTGACAAACGAGCAAACAGTCGTCTGATGGTAATTGCATGACGTGTCCCATAGACACCTACATCTATTATAGCTAAAGAATTTAAAAGCAAACGCGTTGTCACCCCTGAGGTCTCAGATAGAATGCCTCGTTATCAGTAAAAAAAAGTCTCCGGTTATCTACACACACCATACGAGACACAGCAGCATTGTGCTGCTATTTCACGCTGGTATTCTGTGAAGGCATGGCCCTGCAACTATAATACAGCAGCAGCGTGGCTCAACCACGTAAAACAATCACCATGATTTTCCGACATTAATTGGTCGCCAGGGTCTCGTCATTCATCCAACAAAGAGTATTGCAAGTGAGGTTGATATTAAAAAAAAATATAGCATATTTTTCCCTTTAAAATCCATGAATCTGTTCCTTTTTAAAACTCTTCGTACTATCTAAGGCTCGAGTCCCCTTTAATTTGTCTTGTTGACAATAAAACGACGGTACATCGTTCAAGCATTTTGTAAGAGCGTAGACTAATTTGCAACTACTTGCGAACAAGTGGCGAGGAGTGAGCGGTGATATATTAATGGGCGATGTTTTTCTTTATCTTTTGTATCTGTCAGCTTTTACTGCCGTGTTTTGAATTAAAATACATCTACAAGTGAAAATATTTTTTCTTTGTATTTGATTCGAATTTTATTAAATACCTTTGCTGCTAGTGACATATTAGACATTCTAAATTCTAATACGAGTATAACCTCTTTGAATGCCATATGGAATGTCACATATCTTTTTTTTATATTTAAAAGACTACCATAGACTGAATCAGTGTTGAGGCAGATAAAAAGAATAATTATTTTATTTTGTTAACTATCAGATTAGTTTAAATTAAAACTTAAGCGTTAGTAAAATTTTAATAAAAATAATAATAATTCATGTTCTTTTTTAAAAATTTGTTTGAAACAGGACGTTCAATTTAAATTCAATATACAAAAATACTTCAAATATTCTCGAAATGGTATAAAAATGTATTTCGAGAATGTTTAAAGTCTGTAAAATTACATTGAAGCAAGTTGTCGAACTCTTCTTTTCTGCCGACTTCCAAAAAGGAGCCGGTACTCAATTCGACTGTATGTTTTTTTTTTTTTCGTTTTTTTTTTTTTTTTTTTTATGTGTGTTACCTCAGAACTTTTTTCTGGGTGAACCGATTTCGATGATTCTTTTTTTATTTGAAAGCTGGTACTTCTCGTGTGGTCCCATATGAATTTGATCAAGGTCAGACCAATAGTTTTTAAGTTATTCTTAAATAACTTATATTGAAGTCGGCTGTACAAAATTTTTAATTTTAAATTATTCTATTACATTTTCATTACACGTCCGCACGTCTTATATTTATGTAACTTTGTTTTCTTTTTGCAGTTAAAATTAAATATAAAACCAGTCTAACAAATATAAATGAACCGATATTAAATCGATAAATTTTTTCAGCCAAAATTCTAAACTTGTAATAGGTAATGGGATTCCGCTATTCTAAAGCGGATAGCTATCAGATACCTAGTCTTGTGATGTGACAGTGACAGCTGTCATAAGCGTCACCTTTACAGTGACAGCGGTGACGTTTATTAGACGGCTGTTGAACATGATCACATGACGGTTCTAATTATTGTATGGTACCTGTTTGTAGTTAATATTCATCGTTAGTTTCGTTGATTCATTATACGTGATAAAACCCTAATATTATTTAAATTTAGTACAAAGACGTAAAAAAAATGAAACTAAGACTAATAATTATAACTAGGATTATAAAACCTAAAATAAATTTACTTGATAATGTAGAGACGGCGTAAGACAATCCATCCCTACATGTAAAACACCCAGACCAGCGACAGGGAGCAGCATGAAAGACACGAGATGTCTGATCTTATTTATTTATTTACTTATTTATTTACTCTTTATTGTACACCAAAAAACCAAAATAACGAGTACAGTTATATCTAAAGTAGAATATGTACAACAGGCGGTCTTATCACTCTGAAAGTGATCTCTTCCAAACAACCTTAGCGTAGAGAACTGATGCAAACAATAATTAAAAATAGAGGAGGGCGTACAAAATAAAAATAGAAATATGAAAATACGTATAAATAATGATAAGTGAAGATTATGTATGATATCATATAATAGATTAAAGGAAAATTAATTTATTTAATAGCGTTCTAATTAATACGATTTAACAAGACTTTTCAAAGAATGAAGAGATTGAGCACGACGAATGGGGAGAGGTAAAGAGTTCCACAAACGTACCGTATTTACAGTAAAGGATTTCTTAAAAAAGGAGGAAGAGTGCAAAGAAGTAGAGAGAGAAAGATTGACAGAGGATCGAAGGAACCGATTATGTCTGATCTTAGAATTACCTAAGGCCTAGAGGAACATAGGCCTCCCCCATAGATTGCCTCATAGCTAGCTTGCACTTGGCAAGCGGTTTGCAACCGCAGTTTATTTTTATTTTATACTAGGACGCTGCTGTCCATGTCCTAAATTGTTTCCCTCTATCATTTGCGACACCCACGGGATGATATGTGGTAGCAAATATTCTTACACCGCCAGTACACGTTAAAGATGGCGATCTTAGAGTAATTATATACATATGTACCTACGTCTGGTACAACGATCGTCAATACACCTGTCAAGCTTAGTTCAGACTGCGCCATATTAATCCGTTTTATTATAGTATAGCATATTGCTTCATAAGCAAGCAATTCAATATTTTAAAATATAGCGTATTGAGAATTTCAGAAGCGTCAGTAGCCTAATGGCAGGGCGCGGACCGCGAACTCGAAAGGTCGTGGACTACTGTCGTGAACCACTTCTAACACAAGCATTTTAAGCTTACCAGAAGTGGTTAAACGGAATAGTAATGTTTAATAGCATTATTAGTATTTCTTTAATAAAAAAAGAACAAAAAAAAAATAAAAAAAGCAAAAAAATTTTTGATATATTCCATTAATAACGCGTAGCCTGAACTGATGAAGCGTGGTCCATATTCAAGGTCCCTATTCCGAAGTGGACTTTGGCGGTCCAATGTTAATGGAGACATTTTTAATAATAATAATAATATGTTTATTTGTTAAAAAAGCTTTTACAAAAATTTATTTACTTCGCAAATATCCGCGTTATAAAATAAAATGATGTGTCTTACCTAGTACGAAGAGCACCTCCCGCCCTCCCTCAATTTCGTGCACTATCCCCGTCACCACTTATCCCAGCACCGCTACTCCCAACACCACTACACTAGGCAAGACACACCACTGACGATAATACGACACGTGTTTCGCCTCTACACGAGGCATCCTCAGGTGATATAGACTCTACGGTGGCTAACTAAGCCAATAAATAACAAGTAAATTTTTGTAAAAGCTTTTATATAATGTATTTCCGCAAAGTAACGCCTGATTCTATTAATTATGTTTATTTGTTTTTGTGCATTACGACTTATACATAATTAGTACTTTAGTGCTAAAGAAATAACTTTTATTTATATGTTAGTGTAATTTTAATTTATGAACCTAATCCAATACAAAAAAAACCGGCCAAGTGCGAGTCGGACTGACGCACCGAGGGTTCCGAACAACTACGGATTTGTGTTTGTATATAAGTTTAAAATTATTAAAAATATTTTTATTATATGATGTAACTAAAAATTTATGCTTTTCGCAATTTTTCCTTTATCTGTGCTATAATGCGTTGCTTCGTACCAAATTTTAAGATTCTGAGTTCACGGGAAGTACCCTGGAGGTTTTGATTCCCTCGCGAATGTCGAAAATTTGCGTCATAAACGGCTGTATCTTTTGATTACGTTGGCTAAGAAGTTTGATTTTTTCACAGCTCCAAGGGACAGTAGACTTGAGTATTTGATATGACTTTCAGCTTGATACCTCCACGCGTTCCTGAGAAAAAGGGTCTTGACAGACAGACAGACGGACAACAAAGTGTTATATACCAAACACATACCAGTGTTATGTTGTTTAATTCGATAATTAAATTTAAATAGATTAAATAGTGATGTGATATAAAAGCTTATAGCATAAAAATAAAATTAAAAGCAACAAATGTCTTATTCAGCAACAAAGGAATCCAATTACTCTTTTCCTTACCAGCATATATGCAAACTGTTTTACATTTCATAATGTCGAACTACGTGTTTGTTACGCAGAATTCTTAACAAGGCAACATTTTATGATACGCAACCCTACACCGCGTGTTAGGGCGATACACAAAAAGAGTATAATGTCCCGAGTCTCGCGTGATGTCGACATCAAAGGTCGAATATCGGATGTCAGAGGACCGACACCGGCTTGTAGCCATGAAAATCTTTTTCAAATCCTTTTCATAGACATTGTTTTGGATAAAATACTACAACCGTCAGATACACTTTACAGTAATAGAGTTTTGTATGCAATTTAGGCTGTTTAATACATACTTCGATTAGAGTGACTTTCAATAAGTATTATTTATAATCTATATTGAATAAAAAAGTTTCTGTTTCTGTTTCTATTACCGGTACTAGACTGTTACTAATTTTTTTATATTAACTAATAACTAATAACATAATTTAGTTGTCAAAACACGTTTCGCGCAAACACGTTATTATATATATTTCATAGTATATCTTCGACACATTGCACTTTGTCACTGGTTCAACTGAAGTTTTTTCATAAATTATTAATATATAAACCAATAAATACATCTGTCTTGCACACAGATCCAACTGGAGGGGCTATGGGCAATCCGGGCATGGGCGGTGCCGGTACGCAGCAGTACGGGGAGGTCAACCAGTTAGGGGGAGTGTTTGTGAACGGAAGACCCCTGCCTAATGCCGTGAGACTGAGGATCGTGGAGCTTGCGCAGTTGGGAATCAGGTTTGTAAGTTTATATTGAATTAGAATGCAAATGATTTTTAGTATCCCTATATCCAAAAATGGTAAAAAAAAAACGTTGTCTATAGGTATCACAAATATTTTATTATATTATAGCGTTTGATTTTAAAATACCAAAGTGTAATTTTAATGAAAAGTGAAAGATACGCCGGTTGTATTAATAAAAAAATACGGTTGATCCTACAGTCCTTCCCTGGAAATTCCCGCTAATTTCATATGCAAAGCGCTCCAAATTCCACCTATTATGACCTAATTTATTACATCAATAATGATCCGAGAAGAAATTTCAAAGTTCTTTGAAAGAAACTTAATTCGATTTTTTTTTTGTTAACGATTTCTCTTCAACGCATCAACCGATTTTGCAGCAATTGACGGTGTTTTTTGAGTTTATGAGCTGATTAGAGTTGATCGTTATATCTGTTTAAAAGTTATTTAAAAACAAAACATTTTTTTTTTAGATTTCTCAATATCTACTGGTCCGAATCGGTTCAAATGGTTTAGAAAATCTAAGTTTGGTGAAGCCCTTTCGAACGCGGTCAATTTCGTTCAAATCACATACATACAGACATAATGACATCCTCGTAGGAATAATCAGAATAGTTCCTTCCTAGATTTTCGTAAACTGGGGTGAAACCAATAACTTCCCGATTATTTGATAATCATTGATTTTCATAAGGAAGTTAAAAAGGCGGGAAAATGTTAATCTGGACAGTACGCGACGTATTTCAGCAATGTGCTAAATTGACTTTGAATTTTTTTTTATAGGATAAGGGTGACAAAGGAGCACACAGTCCACCTGATAGTAAGTGGTTGCTGTGGCCCCTAGATATCTGCATCTATCCTCGATTACGAATCAAAATGCAGATACGTTGTCACCCGTGAGGACTAAGATGGAATGCCTCTTTTCCAGTAAAAAGGGTCTCCGGTTCTCTACACTCACCATACGAAACACAGCAGCATTAAGCTGCTATTTTACGCTGATATTCTGTGAGAGCGTGGTCCTTCCCCGGTCGAGCCGACCCATTCGTGCTACAACTATATTAGTAATATAGCTGCAGCATGGCTCTACCACGTAAATGAGAATGAATAAAAAGAACTTACCACGAATTCAACTTTGTTTCTGTGCCTGTCCGAAATATCATCTAGTAATATTGTTATAGGATATAACAATATTACTAGATGATATTTCGGACAGGTCGAAATATAGTTACAACATTAATTTTGGTTAAGATTTAAACCAAATTACAAGCTCGTATTTTAAAGAAAGATGTATGTTTTGCTTTACCTTGGCCTCTGGAATATCATATCTGGAATATCATATCAATATCATTCTGGAATATCAAATTTTATCATATCTCCTTTGTGTGAGATCCATAGACTCCGTTCTACAGTTATTAAAATGATCTCTGTTTTCGAATGTCTCGACAAAAAATGATGATATCGTCTACTTGACCGATAATCGATATTAATACACGAATACTTCATTAAGTTTCATAATAAATAATAATCGATTTTCGAAGGTTTTTTTATCAAATAGAACTCAAGATTAGCAACTAAACGTTCATAGTGATGGGACACCGAATATCACCCACACAGATTATGTAATTTTAAAACCTATTACGAAACGTATGAGAACTCATCATCTAGATTACCGAATGATAAATGTTTGAGGCATTAAGTGATATTTATCTAATTATAAACGTCCGTTTGGCAGACCGTGCGACATCAGCCGGCAGCTGCGCGTGTCGCACGGGTGCGTCTCCAAGATACTGGCCAGGTATCACGAGACTGGGTCAATCCTGCCCGGGGCGATCGGCGGCTCCAAGCCCCGAGTCACTACACCTAAGGTGTGTATATAAACAACAACAGTGGAGTGAACTGGTTATTTTTAGTATAAAAGGTAAATGGGACAAGCTGTTTTTTATTGACAATATTGTTTACAAAATGCGAGACATGAGTGCGTCAGCTCACCTGATGATAAGTGTAGTAACTGAAATTAGATGTAGTTATGTGAAACAAAAAAAAAAACACAAGAGTGGATAACCTGCTGCGCAGCTGGTACCTACCATTCCCAATGGACTTTAAAAACTATCTACCAACCCCCTGGTCTACTTCTTATACATACTTTCATCATAATTATCATCATAATTCATAATAGCCCATCACAAATTCACTGCTGAACATGGTCCTCTTGCTACAAAGCACGGTCCTGAGCCATCTGCATCCATCGGCATCGCGTCTCATTCCATCTAATGGAGGGCCACCTTACTGCGGCTGCCACTCAAGAACCTTTTTCCCCGTCGGTATTTGGTTCTTCAAGCTAGCGTTGGGCTATATCGGTTACTCTGGGTCTACTCCGGATATCCTCATTATGAACTCTATCACATTCTTCGATAACTGCTACTATAATCATGATATACCACAACTTCTAAATATCCGAGGAAGCTGTCGACTATGCGGGATTTCTAGTGCTAAAGTGTACGAGCAACTACAAAGACTCTTACTTATCCTACCCTACTTACGAACGCTTCAGCTATAAGGTCGGAGGCAGACCTTGACAACAAACTATCAATATGTCATCATCATCAGTCAATTTCTGGACAAGGGCCTTCGCAGGCGTATTGACATTCGAGCACCAGACGTTTCAAACAATAGACGCTGTTTCTTATAGCCAGACTTGGTATATTAGGTCTCCCCACGGGATGAAATGAGGTGATGAGGAGAGGCAGGTCAGGGGTTGAGTGCTCGCTGTAAAAATCTCAGAAATTGAGTAACCGGGGTTCGATACCCGTCGGCAATAATTAAAATGTTGATTGGAATGTTAAATGCTGATTTAGAGTATTGCTCGGCGGTGAAGGAATCATTGTGAGGAAACCTGCATATCTAAAGAAAGCAAATATTTCGAGAACACGTAAAAACCGTTTGTAGCAGTGAAGAAACCCCCAATTCTTCATAGACTACTATTGATAAGCTGCGAGAAATATATGTATTCATTACAGTCCACTGCTAAATATAGGCTTCGCCCATAGATTGCCTCATAGGGGGAAATTGGCCATAATTGCACCTTTAGGTAGGCAGGTTGGCAACAGGCGGGTTTCAATTTCCTTCTGACTCCTCTTATCACACCCACGGACGACATAGAGTAGTGAAAATTCTTACACAGCCACTACACGGTGATTTGGACGGTAGTAAATGTATAGGCTAGCAAATTGTATGTGTATAACGGTGCTGGTTATATTATAAGAAATTTAATTGTTTAACTTGTAAAGTACCTACGCGGGACGTAAAATTATTTGTTCTCTATTTTACGTCACCAACAAACTGCACACCTCTAAATTTCCGAAATGTTACTAAAACCTATCAATTTTCATACCAGGTGGTATCCTATATCAAGCAGCTAAAAGCGAAGGACCCCGGCATATTCGCGTGGGAGATACGCGACAGGCTGCTTGCCGACGGCGTTTGCGACAAGTACAACGTGCCCTCCGTGTCCAGTATTAGTCGCATACTGCGCAACAAATTGGGTGGCGGAGCTCTGTATCCAGTGCCACCTCTGTACCCTGTACCACCGCAGCGCTGTTGGCCGTTACACCAACCTTACGACTACTACGTGTATTTACAGGTTAGTATTTATCTTCTGCTTCTCTTCTGAACACGTTCTTCTCCCGTTATAGGAATGATTTGGCCTTATCGTCATGATGAGCAGACAAATTGACGATCGCGGTGTATGACGCCGCTCTGTACCGTCACTGCTCTGTGTATTTTACGTGTGATGTAATACACAAGATCGTTGTACCGACATCTGTAGAAAGTCATAAGATTTTTCTGTTACTACCCAAAGTCGCCTCTTACGACACTCGCGTGATGAACGGACGAAATCGGAGAAGGATTCTCTGCCACCGCCACTACACAGAACAAAATAGTATTTATGATTATTATTTTTCAAGAATCTTTTAAATTAACAGTGAGAATTTTTTTCTTTCTTTCTTTGACAGAAGTTATAAAAAATATAATTATTATTAACAACATAATATATTATATATGCGTGTAACTCTGGTTTGATCACCGCCGGCACAAACAAAATTGTTAGTTGCAATTTTAACAGCTGATTTATCACGTTCTCGACAGTGAAAGAAAACGTGATCGTGTATATCATGAACTTGCACACCAGAGGAATCAAATATTTCGAATACATCTGAAGTCTACCAACACACACTAGATCTATTTTTTCCATAACCTTCTTAAAAATTATATGAGCAATGGCTGCTTTTCATTCATTCATTCATTACAACTTACTAAAAGTCCACTGCTGAACATAGGCCTCCCCCATAGATTAAATCATATGCGGGCGGGTCAGTTTTTTATTATTTTAAGTTGTTATCAAGATGCTGCTGCCCATGTCCTGTTCATTTTCATCTGTCGCCTCTTACGGCACCCGAATTATATAGGGGTAGTGGACTCTCCTGCACCGTCACTGCACGGCTAACTTAATAATTATAAATTACAACATCGATATATATGTACTACGCACTAGATTTCGCATTCCGAACATTGACTATGTTCAACTGACCTGTACTGCAATCCCTACACTACACTAAACTAAATATTGCGTAAATTGGAGATTTGTGAATTATTATTAAATTTTATTTAGAAATATGTTTGCTCAGATTAAAATAAGAGTATATTTATTAAATTATTATATTTATTTTATATTAATATCTTATTTTAGGTATATTAAATTAAAGTCTTCGCGCATACGTGACTACTATCTCCCGCGCATGCGCGAAGACATAGAGTAGCGCACAATTTTTGTTTGGAACAGCATATTTAGTACGTAGTACATATAACTCAATGAATTATAATAATAATGTCCTCCAGACCGAATTTCGGTTACGGCGGCCAGTCTCAACCTAGTTCAGCTATCTGCGTAGAACAAGATTATAATGCCCAAGTGCATGCGCAAGAACAGGTGCGCTCTCTGTTCCCTCACTCTCATAGTCCGATAGGGCGGTAATCCGACACGACCGGAGAGTGATTAGACACAGGACCTACGGATTTACGTGGTTTCCGAGGCCCGGGATGAAACACCGCCAACTTTTTTACTCCGGTTTGCTACTGAGGATTTCTTATCACAAAAACCCAGGAAGTTTACGTGGTAGAGCCATGCTGTAGCTATATTAGTAGTATAGTTGTAGCCCGAATGGGTCGGCTCTACCGGGGAAGGACCACGCTCTCACATAATATTAGCGTAAAATAGCAGCTTAACACTGTTGTGTTTCGTATGGTGAGTGTAGAGAACCGGAGACCCTTTTTACTGGAAAACAGGCATTCCATCGTAGTCCTCACGGGTGACAACGCATCTGCATTTTGATTCATTATTGAGGATAAATGTAGATGTCTATGGGTCACAGTAACCACTTACCATCAGGTGGACTGTGTGCTCGTTTGTCACCGTATCCTATAAAAAAGACTTTCGGCTCGAGCCTGGACCTCATGATTAGCAACATTGTTTACGTCAACTAGATCAACGAGGCAGCCAACTTTTAACTTATTATGTTCTGATAATAACTGTTTGTGCTTCAGGGTCGCCAGCACGCCACTGCACCACCGCACGCCCTACCTCACCACCCACATCAGCCGCCGGCCCCCCACGCACACGCACACGCCCTCTGACACAGCCAGCGTGCCACTAGCTGACATACTAGTTGAATGCACTTGCAGTTGGAACTTGACGGACTAAACCGAAGTACTGTATCATGAAACTGAACAGTGAAGAGTTGATCTCGGGTGAAACTGGCGCTAGTTTTAAATTTGATTCAAAATGGAGAATAAGACAACATAAAGAGTTATAATCGGCAAAATACATTAAACTGCAGGAACTGAAAGTGTTCGACTCAGCATTATGCCATAGCAGTTGCCGCATCCACAGCACAACGTTATTATTTCGTCGAAGCCTCTAATTAACGGGCTGTCGGTGAATATTTTGGTCAAATTATAAATAATATAAAAACGATCTCGTTGGAAATAATTGTTGATTTTCTCAAAATTTTACAAAATTTCAAATGCAACTCAAGATATCCAGTTATAGTAAAATTTGTGATCTAATTAAAATTGGGACGTTAGTTACAGTTATTGCAGTTAATCAGTTAACTGTTATATTTGCGTTAACCGCAGCTGATCGTTTGAAATACCAGAATTCACAGATTACTGATACAACAGACATTTAAGTTCTGTAAATTAATTACTCTGTTCCTCACGTTTATTGCAATGCAACGTTGTGATAATCATATATGGGAATGCTTTTTATTGAGTCTATTTATCCAATTAAATTATATGGAAAAGAGAGATCAGTAAACCTTTATTAAACCCATGTTGGTTTAATGGCACTGTTATGAAGGGATTCGCAAATTTTTTAAACTCAATTTAAATTGTCTAAGCTATAAAATTTTTGCAGCCAGGTCATCAAAAAAATCATTTCAGTTTCTTTGGTGCAATGTACATACATATGTATATTTGGAAGTGAAGTTCTAGTGAAAGTGAAAAACGACAATTTTTGGACAGTGTTCATAGTAAACAGTTGATAGAAAAAAGTATTAATATAATGTAAATAGATATAATACCACATTTGTAAGATACTAGTGAAATGGATAGATTAGGGACATTGTTATGCAAAAAGAACCCAACCCACATGAGGCTACATTTAACCTCGAGCACAGGCGCAGAGTAGCCAACCTCTCGGTATTCTATAGGATGCCTTTCGGAGAGTGTGCGCAGGAATTACACGCTTTAATTCCTCCCTCTCCGTTCCACCATCAGACAACGAGACGGTCAACGGGTCGTCACCCCTTTGTTGACGATATTCCACGCATTAGAACCAGACGGTTTGTTTCATCTTTTGTAATGCGTACAGCAAAGGAATGGAATAATTTGCCGGCGTCTTTCCTTCATACAGTCTGGGCGTATTCAAGGCATGAGTGAATAGGCTTTTGTTACGCTAAGACAGTGCGATTTACCATCTAGAGCTCAATCACCACTTACCACCAGGTGGGATTGTGGTCAAGGACTGGCTTATGATAAGTAAAAGAAAAATTGGAACATTGTCACTTGAAGCTTGGGTTACGACACTCGGAGATAATGATTGGCTTTGATTCGTTTGTAATTTAATTAATAGAATCAGGCGTTACTTTGCGGAAATCCATTATATAAAAGCTTTTAAAAAGTTATTTCGCAAACATCCGCTCTATAAAATAAAATGATGTGTCTTAACTAGTATGAAGAGCACCTCCCGCCCTCCCTCAATTGCGTGCACTATCCCCTCACCACTAATCCCAGCACCACTACTCCCAACACCACTACACCAGGAAAGACACACCACTGTCAACGGTCTTAACGGTCAGCCACCGTTAGAGGCGAAACACGTGTCGTATTGTCGTACTAGGTAAGACACATCATTTTTTTTATAGAGCGGATGTTTGCGAATTAACTTTTTAAAACCGTTTTTTCCTTTGTAATTATTAGTTTTATTGACTATAATTTGCTGAATCTCCAAGTAAGTGTTGATTTTAATGATATATTATTGCTCATTTTTTACTTGGTGTGTGGGTTGGATTCTTCAAGTGTATCTTAAGTTATTTTATTAGTGATATTTTGTACCGTGAACACGAAATAGTAATAAGTTTTTATCTTTTACCTTCCTGCTGTGTTGCAAAAATACTCAGAACTGGAGACCGTATTGGTGACAAGGCATTCCTTCTATTTGCATGAAAACCCATCAATATTTAGATTGCTAATTGCGGATAAATATAGAAAATAAATTCAATCTGCTGCGGCATCCGCTTAACATTGGCTGATCTGTGTGCTCGAATAAAAAAAAAACTAAATTAATTATAAAAATATTGCCAAATTGAATATTTGAATCAGTTTTTCTATTAAAACCTCGCATGTTTTACTATCGCTTATTTTTACCGTGACGGATAATTTTCTTATGGATGCCATACACGATTCAGTTTACCGTCAAGTTTGCAGCGCGCTTGAATCGGCGTCCGATAAACTTGACGGTGTATGTCTATCAGTGTGCATGAAAAGTCTACTCGAATCAAAAATTGAATTTCAATTCTACCTACTTGATCAAGCTTGCAGCGTCATGTAAACTTGAACGTGTGTATGAGCTGTCAAGTATGCGTGACGTTAGTCGGAGCAATAAGCGAGAGACGCCATTTCAACTGGTGCGGCATTATGCAATCTTGACGGCGAACTTGAGCGTGAGTGGTCTATATGGATCATGGATGCACTGTAAACTGGACGCTGCAACGCTTCAAGCTTGACGGTAAACTGGATCGTGTATGGCATCCATTATATTATTACTACTTAACACTACTGAATTGAACGGTCACTGTCTTTTAGGAAAATATTTCGTGCTCACGGCGCTCTCTATTTTAGTTGGGTGCAATCATGTAAATATATATTTAGGTCATTTTGTTTAAGTTTTATCATAGGTGGCAATTATGGGTACTTATTATGATAAATAAATTGTATTTAGCCATTTTAATTTCTTTAATCTTATGAAAAAATTAAAATGAGACGAATCACTCGGCAATCACATTTATGTGTATTTAAAATATTTTATGTGTAAATATTAGTTATTTCCAAAGTTAAATTCAATTACAATATGTGCAAATAAAATCTCTTAGGAAATCTCTCTGGTCCTTGAGGTGTATGTAGATGGCCAAAATCACTATTATTACTTATGACCACGTTTCTTTGCTGAATGGTTGTATTAAGCCTTTGGGCGAGAAAAGGCCCTATCCTCGTGTCAAGTGGCGCGACTAGCGTGACTGACGATGACTAATTGCGGATACAGTTCCTTTCTGCTCCACCACGTGTGGACTCCGCGCACAGATAGTCTACAGCAAATGGCACAAATAAAAATAAAGGCAAATGACATATTAATATCTATAACAGGATATATAATACTTTACGCGGTTCAGCTGATATATTATGTAATACGTACATAACACTTTAATGGTTGAGCCGCCATTGATGTTGCACCGGTGCTATCTATAATTATATGTAGATAGCAGATGGGCAGAACCCAATGAACCACAGAACACTTTTTTCTCCACCGAGAGTAATGAAACATTTGCACAAAAATTGTTACTTTTCATAAAACAAAAATAAGCATTTAGAGAGAGATAGAGATAGAAACTGAGAGAGAAAGAAATATAGATTACGCCAGTACATATTATAAGTCTAAGGATTAAATCTAAGTCCTTCGTTCTTAGATTCAATCCATAAATATGTACAGAGGTAGAAACGCTGATATTTAAACTTTACAAATAAATAAAACTGAAGTGTCTGTTTGTAATGTTAAAATAACAGCTTTTTACTCAATGCATATGAATGTATATACGGTACTTATAACAAAAACACATTTTTTTAAGTTTTTGTCTGTCTGTCGGTCTGTCTGTCTGTCTGTTTGTTCCGGCTAATCTCCGACACGGCTGGACCGATTTCGACGGGACTTTCACTGGCAGATAGCCAATGTTCTAAGGAGTAACTTAGGCTACTTATATTTGAGAAAAAGAATTAGGGTTCACAGCTAGTATTATATATAAGTATACAGGGTTATTTTGGAATAACCGGCCAAATTTGCCTAGAAGATTCAAAATAAGGTGCAAATGTTGAAGAAAAATTTATTTAAAAAAATCTCAAACATTTTGTCCTTTTTATCTTTTAAATTCAAAATGCGTGGTAATTCATTATTTTAACTGATTTTACTGCGCACGCACACATTCGTAAGGGTCGATCGGTAGGCAAAAACGTTGTTGCCCATAAATCACAATTTGGGATAATTTCAAACAACAGTAGATGCCTCATTTACTCGTATTTTCAAAAACTACAATAACGATGTATCATTATTTATATATTTGAACTTAAGTTTAAAATTTGTCTACTCTATGAAAAATAACCCTGTATGTATATCTTTTCTTTAACAAACTGTACTTGCACGTTCATTATAGTCAGATATTAAAAGGTTTACGTATACATATGAATGTCCGTAATTAGTCACATCACATTTTACATTATATTATGACTCTTAAATTAACATTTTTCTCTCTTATAAACTCCTATACCTTTAAATTTTCAATATGTTATCAAATCTCAATTCGAGGAATGTGTACTTATATAAATGTGATTGCTAAAAATGGTTGTTATGTAAATTATATTAGATAAATTAAGATCAATATTCACGAAGATAACAGACATATATAATTTAATATCATAAATAAATTGGTTCTTTATTTAAATTTACCTCGATTGTTTTATTATACACATTATATACTGTGTAAAATCCGTCAAAATACAACTTAAAAGATAATGTTAAGGAATTAAGTGTAAATATTTTACTATACCCTCTGAGTAAGTACATATAAATATATGTAAGTATACGTCGGAGTAAAGTATATACTTTTACTCTAAGATTATACCTAACTTAATATTTAAAGTGAATCTGACAAACCTCAGACAAAGCATAGACAAAGACATATTATTCTGCAGATCCTAAATACAAACTTTCAATGAGCTCGATTGGTTCATATTCAAAATTTGCCATGCAGTAGCGACGTAAAAGAATCCACTACCCTGTATCATCCGGTAGGTATCTTAAAATACAA